CAGGCCTGCAGCATGGGCGAGCTGCTGCAGTGCGGATGTGAGCTGACGCGGAGCCGGGCTCCCCCCTCACCCACAGCAGGTCCGGGCACCGAGGGCACGGCCTGGGAGTGGGGGGGCTGCGGGGATGACGTGCAGTTCGGCTATGAGAAATCCCAGCAGTTCATGGATGCCAAGAGCAAGAAGGGCAAAAATGACATCCGAGCTCTTATTGACCTGCACAACAATGAAGCCGGGCGCTTGGTAAGGCCCCCTCTACTCCCTGCCCTCCACAAGCATCAGCCTCCTATGCCCCTACTCAGATCAACCCTCCAGCTTTTTTTCCTCCAAGCCACAAATGTGCACCAACTTTAGGCGAAATATGTACCAAATATCTTTCAGGAGCCTTTTGCAGGTGCTTTGGAAACACCCTCTGCCTCCCCAGACCCTCCCCTGGGCTAGGGTAGCACCATGAGGCAGGGGTTTGGCTGGTGGTACTGGAGAGGGAGGTGTGGGACTGAGAGCTGAGCATCGCTATCTCTTCCCCAGGCGGTGCGGAGCTACATGAGGACAGAGTGTAAATGCCATGGGCTATCAGGCTCCTGCACCCTGAGGACCTGCTGGCGGAAGATGCCCCATTTCCGAGAGGTGGGGGACCGCCTGCTTGAGCGCTTCAATGGGGCTTTCAAGGTGATGGGAGGCAATGATGGGAAAACCCTTATCCCCGTGGGTGACAACATCAAGCCTCCCGACAAACAGGACCTCATCTACTCGGCTGACTCGCCGGACTTCTGCTCGGCCAACCGTAAGACAGGCTCGCTGGGCACCCGGGGCCGCATCTGTAACAGCACAGCCATGGACACCAGCGGGTGCGACCTGCTGTGCTGTGGGCGAGGGCACCGGGATGAGACCGTGGTGCTGGAGGAGAACTGCCTTTGTCGCTTCCACTGGTGCTGTGTGGTGCAGTGCCGCAAGTGCTCCGTCCGTCAGGAGCTCAGCCTCTGCGTCTGATGGCCTGGGGTCAGGCAAGGACAATTTTGGAGGGCCACCCCCAGGCTCACACTGCAGCCCCCACAGGACAGAGACAGGCTGCACCAGTGGCAGGGACAACGTGGGTGAGCCCAGCTCTGCGCCCTGGGGAGTCCTGACTTCTCTGGGGGACAGTGTGGGGCTGCCTGGCATCCCCACAGTCCCCGGGGGGGGCTGTGGGCACAGAGCTTCCACTAATAAAGCTATTTAAAGCCAGTGTGCCACAGTGCTTCCTGGGGAGGGCTGGGAAGCACTGACCCCTGAACTGGGATGGGACCGGATGGAGAGCCATCCTGCCCTGGCTGTGAGTCCCAGACAGCCAGACTGCCTCCAGCCTCCTGTTCATACTGGCCGTGCTGGGACCCATGGCAGAGCCAAGCTCGTTTTTTATCCACTCTCTGCTTTTCTCCAGGTTGCAGAGCCAGGAGATAAGCGTGGATGAGGGCGAGTGCTCTCCTGCCCTGCTCTGCAGCCCTCAGGCTGGATGGGTGCTCTCCTCCCATCATCCATGGCCACCATCGCTTGGGGATGCCAGCCTGTGTCCCACCACCACCTGACCTGGGATGTCTGTGGTGACCTGCAGTTCATGGCCCGTCCACTCACCGCTCATGCAGGAGGTACGGCTAGTGGCCCTGACACCATGGTGATGGGCTGTGAGTTTCTTGAAGGTATCCTCTATACTTCTCACTGTCTCTAGCCACCATCGCTGCAGTCCCCACCATGGAGCCTCGTATGGAGAAACCCTGTGTGGTGCTTACACTGTTGGTTTGGTGGCATACAAGGCATTTGCTTGGCGTGCCATGTGCCACGTGCAGCCTCACCTTGCTGGCATGGTGCCAGGCATGTCTTGGTAACCTGATCAGCCCGTGCCCCTCATGGGCAAACACGGGGTGAGGAGCAGCCTGCCTGGCTGCCCAGCAAGGCAGGCTGCCATCCCTCAGCTCCAGAGGCTCCACGGGTCTTCAAGGGGGCTCCTGCTGTGCTGCAAGAAACCCACCACAACTGGTTTCTCCAGCCTTACCCAGCATGGGGGGTAGTTGCAGAGAGGAATGTCTGTGTGCAGCATCTACTCAGCTGGCAATGCCACATTAGGCAGAGGAGCCCCCGAGGAATGTCAGCAGAACCAGAGCCTGGGCAGAGAGGTCCATGCTCCTGTGCCTGCCGTCCACACTGTAGCAACACAGGGCATGGGGGCTTTGCCTGTCCACTGCTCTGCAAAAGGATTACCAGGTGTGCAATGCCCCACACTGGGTATTGCCAGGCAGGGCAGGAGTGGAGCTTGCAGTGCTGGGCACACTGCAAGGCCAAGAGAGCTGCAGTGGGCTGCTGTTGGTGATGCCTACCAGCAGGTCTCTCCTCACCTGGCCCAGCCGGCCAGCAGGGAAGGACAGGGGAAGCATATGCCATTAACCATGAACCTGGCTGGGCGGAAGCCTCTAAATCTGTCAGCTGCAGCTTCAGAGCTGGAAATTCCCTCCTGGCTTAACTGGGAAAAGGAAGGCACATGGCGCTCCTGGGAACTCCCAGCTGGGCACCCGCCCATGGGAACACATGGGCTGAGTGGGTGCAAGTGAAGGTACCTGCACATGCAAGTGTACAGTGTGTGTGTGTGTGTGTGTGTGCACAGGTAACAAATCTATGTGTGTTCATGACCATATGTGTGTGTGAACTTCTGTGCACACCCATCACTGTCCATGTGAGCCCCTTGTGGGTGTGCAAACAAGTTGTCCCATGTGTCTTCATGCATGTCGATGACTATTTGGCAAATTGTCAGCATGTGTGTACCAGCGACACCGTCCCCATGTGTGCCTGCATGCGAGCATGTTTGTTTGCGCGTGTCTCACTGAGTTTCTGCAGGTGTGTCTGGGACAGGGAGGATGTGTGGGTGCAGCAGGACCCTGCAGGAAGAGAGCTGAGGAGATGCAGGGTCTGTGTGCCGGGAGATGTGGGGAGCAGGTCCCTTTGACCTAGAAAAACATGAGCACACCTCAGGCTCTGTGTTGCCCATCAGGGGAGCTCAGATCAGGCAGGTCCTGTGAAAATTTGGGTCACCCCTGGTCTCCTCTGGAGCCTTCCCAGGCTGAGGCCAGATATACTTAGGGATTCTGAATCTCTCTGTGAGATGTCAGAGTCCTAGCTCTGATCTTCAGCAAGCTCCTTCTTGGGAGCCTGCCTCAGTTTCCCCACAATGGCCTGCTTTCATGCTCCTAGCTGCATGGACATAACTCTGGAGGTCTGGATCACGGATAAACCCTGAGAAACACGGGTAGTTCTTTTGAGTAAGGGATCTGACCTGTGTTCCCTCTGCCTTTGCCCCAAACCAGAAATCCTGAAGATGGGAAATCACAAAAGCCACATATGCGTAGGGGGAAGAAGACGGAGAATGGAGTTAGTGTGAGGGCAAAGGGTTCTTGCTTGGAGAGAGGCACATGGCCACTGACTGTGGGGTGACTCCTCTGCACCCCCAGCGTGTCTCATCACTGTGCTTGTGAGACCCTTGTGGTTGTGCAAACAAGTTGGTGGGTGTGTCGTATGCCCTGCCCAGCTGGGGAGGAGAGTTTGCTAGGGGGCTGCCAACTCCCCACCCCTTCTCCCTGCTGTCCCTGAGCTGGCAGAGCCAAATCCATTCCTGTGGTAGCAAGGAGAGGCCCTGGCATAGGCAGGTGTCACCAGTACCCAGGCAGGGGCTGGATCAGTGATCCAGAGAGGGCTAGCCAGCAGAGCCCGCGGCAATCTCGCAGCTCCTCAGACTCCTAGCAGTGCCCCCAGCTCCCTAGACCTTCAGGTGCTCCCCAGAAGCTCCCCATCCCCTAGGACGCCATCCTGGACTCCTGGAAGCACCCCAGCATTCCCGACGGGCCCCTAGTAACTCCCCAGCAGTGCTCCACGGGCTCCCCAGATTGCTA